TTTTAATAATAATGTGTTTAATTGAGTAATTTTATAATAAATAAATTTTTAAAAATAGAATTAACAAATAATAAAATGTTTTTCATAACAATACGGTCCAACATTTTTAATAATTACAGGTACAAAGCAACACCAAACCACGTTATCAGATTAAACCATCTATGTCTCAGCTGGGTGAATCTTGTGGAGGCCTCAACAAAGTCAAAAAAAGAAAGAAAGAAAGAAAAAAAAGGAGCTCAAACAGAAGAAAAATGTCAAATCCAAAGCACAAGTTTAACTCGAATGGAGGCTAAAATTAGCCCATTGGAACTGCGAGATTAGGATACTTCTCTGTAAAATAAAATTAAAAAAAAAAAAACATTTTGACATCATTTCCCTTGGGCATATTATTAGTCCTTAAAAAAAAAAAAACACACAAACAAACAAACACTTCCCGCTGGGTATGCCGGTATAGTAAATGGCCCGCTTTGTCGGCCTATGCAATCAGTTTTCGAGCTACGTTCTTGTGGCCCAATAAATCCCATCTGGGGCCCATTAAACAAAACAGAAATAGCAAAACTTGTAACCAAACGCAGCGTGAGCTTAGTAGGCCTTCTGCATCCAACGGCGGTGCGTATTCGTTCCATCAGGATCGTATGATAGTGATGCTGTTCTTGGATCATATGGTTTTTTTTTTTTTTGATCTTGGATCATATGGTATTTTCAGTTATAAACTGTCTTCTGGTTTTCACTTTAAGGTTTCCGGGATAGCCAAACCCCTCCCTGCCATCTACAGAGTTGTCCTGGAGACCTCCAATCTTCAGTAATAAGTTTTGCCATCAATTTACTCCTGGCACTGGGTAATTTTTTTTTTTATTTTTTTTATTTCCCTCTGATAGATTTTCATTACAGAATAATGTATACACAATTAAGAGGGCATTGACTACCTTTGAATTCAAGAAACGTTAAATTTTGCCCCTGATTAAAAGCAAAGACACTAGTAAGTTGAATTGTTGATGATTGTGAATCGAGAGTGTTCAATTTGCGGCCTTTACGATAACATTTAGCTTACACATAATTATATGGGGTGTTCATATGTGAGTAGAGAGAATTTTATGTACGAAATAGAAAGTGAAAAGTAAGTGAGTTATATATGTGAAGATTCATGAATTTAACAAGTTAATTTTTTAGGTTCAATTTGATTTCTTTACGTGTTAAGCTTTTATTCAAGTGTTAAGCTCTTATTCGAGTGTTGTAGTTGACCTAGTTGCTAACCCACAATATGAGGAGTGCTCTGAACTTCTAACAGATTCTCTAAATAACAAATTATAGTAATCACATCTTATGGTTTCCTCCGGTTTAAATGCATATTTAGGTAGTTCTTTGTGGTATCATGGTTAATTTATATATGTTTCATCATCTATTCATACTTCTATATTCTCATGTGCTATCGGTGCCATCTGGTTTCTGCTTTAATCTTTTCTGCATTTGCTTATGTAGGCACTTTGCAAGTATGCAAGTGGCACAAATCTTGTCACTAGGGTAAGCACGAGCAACACAGGCAGTTTAGGTTGTGGAAACAGTCGGATGAAATGCTTATGGTAACCCTTCTCCTCTGCTAAGTGCTCTCTTTCTCAAAGATTGTTTAATAGATTGGTCTCTATGACAACGTTGTTGGACTATTTGATGCAAAATAATTTAATTCATAGTAAATCATATCGAATAACATCTCGGTTATATATATAAATGCAGAATGCAAAAAACATGTCTGTCAATTAAGTCATCAAAACTTCATCAAATAAATGACTTGCACAAGTTACCCTACTTCTAAAGCACTAGAGGGTAGCATGGTGGATTCCTTGGTTGTAGCCCATCAGTTCTAATGATACGCATTGGATTATAGAGGAATGTGGATGGATAAAGTGTCATATTGATCTTATCTAGGGAAAAGAAGTTAACCAATAAATCCTTCATTTCTTACCTTGCTAGGTATTAACTCTCCATCAGTTCTCCACAAAATGCCTAATCCTCATTAAACAACGCAAAGGACATTTTGTCGAACTTGTAACATGTGGCTTTGAAGAGTTGGCCCACGTCATGTTGCATTGCTTGTACTCATTAGGCCTGCCCTCTTTCCTCAAATCACTTGGTCCTTCATGCTTGCTAAAGATGAGATGGTTCTAAGTGGATCAGTTTAGAAAATCTATTTTGTGATGGACGTTTGAAATTTCGAAGGGTGCAGTGTGGGAAAGACTTGACACCTCAAATAGTAGAGGGAGATGTTCCACCTATAATGGTTAAACTCTCAATTTGGTTCTTCAATTATTATATAGACCTTTGAGTTCATTTTTAAATTTAAAAAATTTTTGATTTGATCCTTAAGGTTTTCAAATTTGGTTCCAAGTTAGTACTTTTGTTAAAAAACAATTAACTTGTTCATTATTTGATGGTAGTAAACCATTACTTGACAATCATATGTTACATTAGTAATAGGATACATAACTATTTTTTAACGGAGGGACTAACTTGGAGCCAAATCTATAAGCTTTTAGGACCAAATTAAGAATTATTTTAGTTTATGGACCAATTTAAGAGTCTAAACAATAATTAAGGGACCAAGTTAGGGTTTAACCACCTATAATTCATACATTGCCATTGCTAGCTAGTACTGACAATTCGGGAAGGAAAGGAGAGGCACGCTTGAACAAAACAACCATATATTACAACATATAAAACAGTTATCAAATTTCATGAATTCAGACTATATAAACACAATTGTAGGAAATCAATGGGTGGCAAAAAACATAAACAAAAAAACAGGGTGGGGAGTATTTAATTAGAGGTTAGAGTAAATGAAATCCTAAGAAAAGGGAGAAAGCTATATTCCTGCTCCCAAGTCAAGTATAGAGTATAGACCCACTTGGGCCACTTCTTAAAGAAGAACTAAAACCAAGTTGCTTCACCTTTACTTCTCCCTCTTTTCTACTCTTGTGGACCAACAGACAGCATCCCAAAAAAGGATGAGTTAAACATTCATTATTGAAAAAGGAATTGCTTGCTCTTTATTGCTCCCTCTGAAGCATTCCCAATCAGGGAATGTGCCCTTAAGACTTGCCACAACCTTTCTCTTTTCATCCTTGTGCCTCAATAATGTCCTTCACAGCATGACTTTCAACGCAAATCTCATCAATTGTGTTCTTAATTTCAGGTCACACAGGACCACTCACTATGATCATCATTTACAGAAGATGGCATGGGTATTTGGTACATAATACCGTATAGCTTTATAGTTTTATGATACACTAGATATCCAATTGGGACAAATTCCAAACTTCATATATTAAAAAGAATGAGACATAAAATAGATTAAGGTCATATTTGGTTGAGAGTAATGGTTAGATTCTTGGTCAAATTATACAAATTATAAAGCAAAATTAATTGAATGGGTATATATAAGTAATGGTTATTCCATCAACCATTTTTTTTTTCTTTTCACTAGATGAAAATTTATTAAATAGGAGTACAAGGGGTACTCCAACCTTCATATATCAATTAGTTTATAAAATATTGTACTCACACTAAAATCTAAGAGCTAATTAAGGAAATTAACATATTACTAATTTTGGATCACATAGTTGTTTGATATGTGTTTTACATAGTTTTATTCATATGGTGGTGAATGATGTTATCTTAGTGTTCAAACAACATTTTCAATGAACGACCTTAATTATTCACTCACACTGCACTCTCCTCCACATGCATCAATGCGCATGGTGTGTGCTAGCTCTTGGCTTCAGCGGCCATGGCTGCCTCGGTGCTTCCATCCCTCTCTCTCCTCCTATTGGCGGATACAGAAAATCATACCCATTCTCCGTCTGTGTTTCTTTTATCCCAAGTAACGCAATGAATTGGGAAGAGTGCAAATGAAAACCTGATGAAAAAAAGCAAGCCTGCTGCACATCAAAATTAGAAGAAAAAAAAAAAAAGAAAAGAAAAAAAAGGAAAGCATGCAGGATTTCCTTAGCCATTTATTTGTCCGTCTCTCTATCTCTATCTCCCTTTGCCCCCACAAGTGAGAATGTATGAGTCGGTGTTGAGCACGCCCAATGATGATGTCGTTTGGAAAATTTTCATTGCTTAAAAGGAATTTTGAGGCTTGACTTCAACCCAAGTAAGAGATGCATGTTCATTTTCTCTAGTTCAAGCGCAATATTAATTTTTCTTGCTGGTTAGTTCTATTATTCATTATTATTAGATATCTAAAGTTCGTTTACTTTCTATTGGTATATAGTCAAGCCAAAATAAAATTCAAAATGCACTTCATGCGGTCTAAGTGCTCATACCCACTCTCCCCATTTCTTCTTTCACCGACCTTCATGTTCTGGAATTCCGGTTACACCACCTGGCAACAACTTGAGGGATGTATAAATGACAAGGTTGTGGTTTCTTCTGATTCTCTGTATTCTTTGTTTGTTATCAAGTTTAAGCTTTTGAAGGTACGTAAGTCGGATAATTAAATTACAGGGAACAAAATGCATAAAATGCATGCACTTTCTTAAATGGTGATGCTTGTGATTCTATTTTTAATTCAAACCCTTTTACTTCAGGTATGTAAATTAGCTAAAGATAGGAAAAGACAAGAATTGCAGATTGTGCCTACTCGTATCCTCCATTCTATTTTCTACATGTGATTTTCTTAACTGTCTTACAGTAATTTTTGAGACTGCACAGTCTGCATGCATTGACACAGCAACCTTGATTAGCTGCTCGGTTTATGGTGTTCCACAATGCCACTAATTATAAAGGAAAATGTGGAGGCAGGCATGACAGCTAGGACTCCTGGCATGCCAATTTGTTCAAGGTACCATATAGGAGAATTCTGGAAATTTATAACTACTTCAAATGGTCACTGGATAACTATTTGTTTTTTGTCATGTTTCTGGGGCAATTTATGAGTCTGTTTCAGTGTGTTATATGCTGCTTTAGTTTCTCACTCAAAATCCTATATATAACAAAAATAGGAACTTATTTAGGTGACATTTTTAAGGATCTTCCAACCACAATAGGGATGTATATCGTAGTCTGTTTCAAAATGTCTTCCATTTCATTTCTGAAGGTAGTATAGTTCAGGTAAGAACTAAGAAGATATATATTGTCTGCTTCCTCATTGACTCTTTAGAACGTGCAAAGCATTATTAGTAGACTTTCTATTAACAATCTTAATGACATTGCCTGCAAATTCTAAGCCACACAAGTCATGTTGAAAATACAAATGAATCTAACATACAAGAAATAAAAACAAAGTTTACATATAAAACCCTTTCATATATATATGCATATTAATTGAACTTCAAAATATACAAGGCAAGATACATTCCATATTAATAGGCTGAGCCAGTCCCAAAAGAGAACTCAACCATAGTCCACCTAGGAAAACTATTTTATTTTACATGCATTTTTCAGTCAAATAACTAGCTAGATACTAGCTAGTATTAATTCAACCAAGAAGTCTCCATAACTAATGCAATACCATTTTAGCTTTATTATGTACAGAAACCTTGAAGGATCGATCTGTTTCTTTCATAATTTTTATACATGTACTTCCTATAATTAATTAGTAGTACTTGCATATGTATCCTCTAATTATTAGAATATGCTTTCACTTCCACAGATCAATTTGACAACTCGAAGTGGATGTGGAGGCATATTCCTGATGATGAGCAGCAATTTCTGATGGCCCTTTTGTTTCAGCACTGCCTAGTATATTCAGTTGTTGAGAAACTTGAAAGGCTGCTGCATTGGAGTAGTTGGTTTCCTTGGAAGCATCCTCATTGCTGAGCTGAGATGCTACAAATTTGTCCAAAACTCGCCAATCTGTGACTTGATCCACTGCTTGATCATTGCTGTTGCCATAAACTGAGTTCAGATTCTGGTGGTGGCCCGCTTGCTGCATTAAATGTTGCTCTTGGGACAGTGATGACTGCAAAGTGCTTCCAGCATAAGGAACAACAGAATTGCAGCTAAGACTTCTGGTGCCTGATTGTGGAACTTTAGGGCTCTCAAGCTGGGGGAGCTGGAGGAAAGCATCATGCGACAAATTGTATTGCAGCTCTAGCTCTTGCTTGCAGGGATAGAGATGGTGATATTGTGTGTAGGGCTGAGTGATTCGCCTAGGGGAATCAAGTTCCTGCATGAAGGAGACCTGGTCATCATACCAACATGGTGAATCATATTCTCCCATTTTCTGAACTGTTGTCATCCTCTTCTTGAACACCCTGCAAACCACCCATCCTTCTTCCTGATCATGGAATAACACAAGATCATATATGTGCATGTTAGGCATGTAAGAGCTTCATTATAAAAGAATCCTTTTTTTTTTTGCATCAAAGAAGATAGCTAGTGTGATTAGCTATTGCATTGCAGAGGTCTAAACTCATAACCTTGACTTTAGAATTAAGATTTTATAGTTAGCAGATACTATCTTAGCTAAACGCTTGTTGATCCTGAAAAAGAGAAATTGTTTGTATGTTTTGCTTATCCGTAAAAGTGATTATATTATACTTGCCTGTGGAGTTCCATTTTCATTTGTTTCCAATCGATACTCATGCATGATCCAATCAGATTTTTGTCCATTTGGGGCTCGTCCTTTGTAGAAGACAAGGGTTTTTCTCATGCCAATGAGGCTATGCCTGGCGTATATAGCCTTGTCTCTTCCTGTAGCTTTCCAAAATCCTGCCTTTGTTGCTCTGTTGGTTCGAGTACCTGTGGGATACTTCTTGTCTTTATGGCTAAAGAAATACCATTCGTTCTGCTCTTCAGTTCCTATTTTGCATAATTCTATCCAAATTAAATAGCAAAATCAGCATTAATTAGTAACACATCCATTACCCTGCGAAGGAATTCTCTTTTTCTGATTTGAAATGCATGCTAGCTAGCTATATATTACAAATATTAAGAAAGAAACATGCATGAGACATTGTTATATATACCTTGCAGGTCCCAAGGTTCAATTTTATAAAGATCAACATCTTTGATGACATCCAGATCTATCCTTTTGGAAGCAATTTTTTTCCTGAGGTAATAATCCACAAGTTCTTCATCTGTGGGATGGAATCTAAAACCCGGGGGAACATGCGAGAAAGTATTCATTTTTTCCCTAGAAATGCTCAGAACCTGCGCATTGATCGAGTTAGCTACTACATTGTTAGCATCATATATATTGGAAGTGTACATACAATAAAAGGATGCAAAAGTTAATTTATAATATTTTTCTTCCATTTTCATTAAATGTGGGAAGATTCAAAAGTTAAAAATCACACTAACAATATTATATAATGAGTAAGGATCAAATTACACTAATGTAAAATCTTACGCTAATTAATTTTCTTAATCACTGTTTCTAAAATTTAAAGGTTGAATTTGATTAAAAATTCAAATCACAATATATCATATTATGGGAAAATGTTTCTCAAAGTCTTTGCACAATCCAAAAAGTTGTATTATGGCCTTATGATTCACGTTTGAATTTACATGTCTAGTCAATATGAATTGTTGCTTAACTAATTGAACTATTTAAGCTTCTCATTTCTTGGCAAACTGCTTTAGGCTCATTCATATAGTCTAGTAATTCATTTATTTCTAAAAGGAGATATACATATTTCATTTACAAGAAAACGAATTATACTATATACTAGAGGACTATACAAAGATATATTTTAATTAATTGCAGAATTAATATGCTATATTGAGAACAAACAATATTATGCCAAAAATTTTCTAGGGTTTATGTGACTAGCTAGGGTACTATTCACACAAGCCTTTGCCAAACAAGTTTCTAATGTGTCACCACATTTGAGAAAAAAATAAGGAAACATATTTATTATGTCTAATTCATAATAATGATTAAGATGAATGTAGTACTTCATAGGCAAGTTTTTCTCAAATGGAAAGAGCTACATATAGGCACAATAATTTCTAGTATATGTTTCAGCTCTATTAAATATTTTTCAAAGGTAGAACACCAATTAATGTATAAGATGATATTTATAATATATGAAATTCTAAAGCATGCAATTAAAACAATAAAACCAATGGTTTCATAGAAAGATGAAGAAGATATATAGATTTATCTATATTGAAAGCAAAAGGATGAAACATGATCTTGCACAAAACTTTTTAATAATTTGGATGAAGATCGACTAGTCCATATGTACTTATTATTACCGCAACAAAATGATTTCTAGAGCAAGAAATTCATAAATGAAATCAATCTAACGTTCATATATTTAATTATATATAAGCATCTCACAATTAAAGCTTTAGGAAGTATAACATGTGATATAGAAATTAACGTAAGAAGTAGAAATTTGATGATTTCAATCATCTTAAAGACATTTTGGATTCGGTCAAAACGAAAAAGAAAATAAAATATGCAATGAGGAGAAGAAATAACCTGGTAAGGAAAACAAATTAGTAAGATCACAACAGCTCCTCCAGGAAGAAAATACAGAAGAGGATATTTAATCTGGATCAACCGATCAAGAGCAACCATATGGAAATGGAAAACAATATCAATTATGTGAAGAAGAATATCTCAAAAACTCCTCCAATATATTGAAATGCATCATGTCCTATAATTAATATTTGCTAGTTGAATTCTCAAGTATGATTGCTTAATTAGCTTATAGCAAAAGCATCCTCCACTTTTATATCTTTTAAGATCAGGAATGATCGATATCACCCAAAAACATCCCAAAAACATCAAAGAACATAATTGAAAAAGAAAAAAGCAAACATCAAAAGAGAGCATGGGGAAAAAGATCAACTCACGTTAACCCTAACTTGTTCCTCGGATCTGAGTGTCGCGTGCGGCAATCAGCTTAAAGAGAAGACACTTTAGGCTAACTTTTTAATCAACTTCCTTTTTACAACCAGACCAGACAAATAAAAACACAGAAAGTAATGCCAACTAAGAAGAATGGATGCAATATATGAAAAGTTATTCCTGATCTCGGGAATTGAGCTCAACCTTAACATAAACTGCAGTTAGTGTCGGAATTGTCTTCTTCTTGTCTAGACTCTAGAGAAGGAGAAAGAAATCAGATCCCGAGGAAGGGACAAGAAAGGAGAAGAAAAGAAGAGAAAAAGCAAAGGAAAAGGTTGAGCAAGGAACTAAGAAAGAAAGAAGATATAGGGTTAAATAAGAAGCAAGGGAAAACCAAGAAGAAACACAACATGCCCCAATAATATTAATTATATATCATACTCGATCTGAACTCTTTCTCTCTCTAAACCCTTTTATATATCTTGATTGCTGGAAAAGCTTCGCACGGAAAAAGGGGGGCCGGAGATAATGGAAGATTTGAGAGCCGTAATATATACTAGAGAGATGGAGAGGCGAGGCAACCTCCCAACACCACCCACCAGCTACTGATGGAGACCGGAGGACCAGTGTTTTGGTTTTTGAGAGGTTGCCACAAAGACCAAGCGAACGTCGACGATCAAATGGCCTGCTTTAAAAGCTTCATGAGGGATGCAGAGAAATAAAGGTAAAATTTTGCATTCAATTTGGAATAGTCATATTAAGAAAGAAAAACAATGGCATTGAGGAAGAAAATGTAATGATGGAATGGATGATATTTTTGGGTAGAATATCACCCCGCCAAAAAGTTGCATGAACATACCTTCCCTTTCTTTTTCTTTCTCTTTTTCTTTTCTCTTTTTAATTAATAAGATTATTAGTTTGTAATTCTCTTTTCTGCGTGACGGGCACGATTGAGACTCATAATAACGGGGAAAAATTGTACCTGTTTGGTATGTGTTGGATATGTAGTTTTCGCAGAAAATTATGGCCCTTAATTGCACATGTAGGGATGACAATCATAAATTAACACTAGAATTAAAATAATTACTCTTTTCATTCTACATAAGAGTTTTAACAAGGGAGAGAAAGATATAAACATGGTGACACTTAATTAGTTATTTTATTAATATTTTGTATATTTTATATAAATGAATGATTTCAGCTTGTGTCAATAATAAAGACTTGATCTAGGCTAATAACTTAAAACTTAATTTTCTTTAAATAAAATTTTAAAATTTAAATTTTAAGTACTAAAAAAGGTTTTTTTTTCTATGAAATTCAATTCGACTTAACTTTAAATTAATTGAATTTTAATATAATTTTTGAATACTAAAGAATTTATATTAAAAAAATAAAAATTTGACCTAATGTTAATTAAGTTGAAGAAATTTAATATCTTTAAGTTTTAGATTTAAGTATTATCTTGTGCAAATTATTATCTAACTTTCTTTTTATTTTGTTTGATTTGAGTAATTAGATTGTACTGTTACGTAATTGGTTGATATTTTACATACTCGGTTGAGTGAATTGTAATTAAAACTTTGTACTTAAAAAAAAAAAAAAAACCTATACTCCTAAGAAAAAAAAATCTTCTTAGAAAATGTTAAAACATTTCCATAACAAATCGAGCTACCCACAATTAATGAAATTTTTATTTACGTTTTTTTTTTATATATATCATTTTTTATATCAAACCCATTCTCCACATCAAACTTTCAACATCCTAGAAAGACAAAAAAAAATTGTTACATCTCAGTTCCGATCAAAATATTTCAAATCTCAACCCCAAAGAATCAAAAACTGAAAAAAAGTGCAAATTTTTTTTTTTCTTTAACAAAAAGTGCAAATTTTATGGTATATATATATTGTCCAACTCACTTCCAGCAGGTGCACGCGAGCCTCTGGTTGGTCGATCCACAATTTTTTTATATTTTATGACAGACCTTTCACAACCTGGACGGCTGGACCCCACAAACCGCCTCGTATTATCAGACAGTGACAGTTCTCCAAATTTCATCATTTAAAAAAAATAATATAATAATAAAGACAGCTCAGCTATGCGCCGCAGCTGAGCCAATCAAGCCGACCCGTTTATAGGATCAGAGGTGAAGGCCTGAAACGGGTAACGATGCTTGGGAAACCTATGTTGGCTATGTTTTCCATCCTCCCGATATCTTAATAATTTATCTTAATAATTAAGAATTTAAATAATCAATATTAAAAATAAGATATATATATTTAAATTTAATTATTAATTTTTATTATAAATATTAGATATTATTTTTCTTAT